TGGATGCAAGAAGCAGTGGCCACAAGGAGCCCTGGAGTTATTCAGATGGCACAGGAGGGAATTCATTAAGAGAGAACACAATAAACAACAATAGCAGATGCATGAGCAGTCCAAAGCTTCCAAGGATCACAGAAGAATGTTAATTCAAAGGTACTCTGTGTGCATTCATGAAGGTCATTGGCTATTAGTCAGAATCTCTCTGTTTCACCTTCAGTATCAGAAGCAGTATACATCTACATACCACCTGCTGTGGAATTGGTAATGCTGAGCGCAGTTGGCCTTAGATCTTGGCATGCTGCACATTCTTTCAACAGAACATGGGATTATCTAGATTCAGCCCAATTATTCTGTCTTTATGTTCATGTAGAAATACTTCCAACTACAATTTAGGGCAGTATGTACAGGGGCCATCCCCTGAGGGTGTATTTTCACTGCAGGTTGACATCACTTTCTCAGGCATGGTTCAATGGGAGTTGTAGTTTTGTAAGGACTCTAGCCATATCCACTAAATACTACTAATGACTCACCAAACTGACAAATCCCAAATTTCCATAGCATTCAGCCAGAGCAGTGAAAATGGTCTCAAACTGCATTAATTCCTACAGTATAGATCAGGTATGGACACATTTCGGCCCTCCGGGTGTTTTGGACTTCAACTCCCACAATTCCTAACAGCCTACTGGCAGGATTTGTGGGAGTTGAAGTCCAAAACACCTGGAGGGCCGAAATGTGTCCATACCTGATCTATACTGTAGGAATTAATGCTGTTTGCCCATGCCTGGTATAGGTAGACCCTGCATCTTTTAAGGACTATGGCTAGAAATTTGTTGGGACATTTTCACTTACACAGAGCAGCTAATAATTTTGACTTGGGGCCCTTTCACATTATCAAAATATAGCACTGTGATTCCAGTTTAACTCTAATGGCACCAATGTGTGGAATCCTGGGATTTGTCATTTTGCTCTTATTGTTATATGTTTTTGAGTTGTTTCCAACATACGAAAACTCTATGCTTTTCTTTTGTAGGTTTTTATGGAGTTTTTCTTGACTTTAGCCTTCTTCTGAGGCTGAGAAAGTGTAACTTGAACAAGGCAGCTCAGTGGCCAAGCAGGGGTTTGAACCCTGATCTTATAGTCTAAGACCAAAACCACTATGAAAGCTGCTCCCTCTAGAACAGCTTTTATATTTTTAGTTTTGCAGTTTCGCCTCCCTCAAGCCTCCAATTTAAATAAGATATGGAAATATAAGGGAAATATAAGCAAAGGGTGGAGGGGATTCAGTCAACCAGGTAATGCTAGCTCTTCTTTCCCTCCACGGCCACAGCAATGGCAATTTGGATGGTGTGGGCTCCCATCAGTTCTTGGGCCAAGGCAGAATGGAGCTTTTTGTTGTTTTTCTCTTCTTCCGAGGCTGCATAAGTAGCAGCATCCTTTTACATGGTGAACGTAAGAGGGGGGAGCTGTAAACTCCACTACACAACCCAAGTCCACCGTTTCTACTTTCGATCTTTGGTACTATATAGAACCCAGGCAGTAGCTGCCTCCTTCTCACCCTCTTTGTCTGACTCAAACAGCTGTCTCCTGTGGTTTCCTTTCACACACAAAACAGATTACAACATCTTCAACTGTGAGGTGTGGAGAAAAGCATATCTTCTTATTTCCAGTCTACAATATTGTGAAAATGACCCTGTATCTCTCATCTGTTCTCCTGCCACTGGAAGGTAAAGGGCTTATTGAGTCAGGTTTTTAACTCTTGATTGGTGAATACAAAATAATATTTTAATGAAACTATTGCACACTAATCTAAGACCATTTCAAACACAACAGTATACCCCTACTGTTACATTTTCAATTGTTTTAGGTTAGTAGGTCAGTTTATATAATTGTTTTTAATTGTGCCTTTTTAAAAGCTTTATTTTCTTTTAATCTATACCTTTGGTCTCGACTACAATAAAATAAATAATAATAAAGATTTTTTTTCTGGCATGTTGCAATGGCAACATATCATTCATAAGTTACCTAAGAGAAGATATATCAGGTCAACTGAGGTGCATCTACATTGCAGAAATGATGCAATGTATTGTCGAAGGCTTTCATGGCCAGAATCACTGGGTTGTTGTAGGTTTTTTCGGGCTATATGGTCATGTTCTAGAGGCATTCTCTTGTGACTTTTTGCCTGCATCTATGGCAAGCATCCTCAGAGGTAGTGACCTCACTACCTCTGAGAATGCTTGCCATAGATGCAGGCGAAACGTCAGAAGAGAATGCCTCTAGAACATGGCCATATAGCCCGAAAAAAACTACAACAACCCAGAATTGATGCAGTTTGACACCACTTTAACTACAATGGATATGGAACCATGGGACCTGCAGTTTCACAAGTTTTTAAAAATCTGTTAGCCAAATAGCCCTGGTGCCTCATCGCACTACATCTCCCATGATTCCATAGCATTGAACCATGGCAGTTAAATTGGTACCAAACTGTATGCATGCTGTAGTATGCATTGGAGTCTCCCGATTTCAAGCAGATTTCGAACTGCATTTTACTTTCTGTGTGGAATCATTACTTAACTGTGACAAACTGTACCTAGTTTCAACAGGGGAATTGGTCCACTTTTGTTTTTCTGCTACTTCTATGAAAATAGGTGGGATTAACTACAGCTGGCTGACAGTTACATTGCTTGTAATTCTATAAACATGATTTCTTTAAATCTCAACAGCATGAGTCCAAAGGGGAAGTTCCATTGCTTTGCAGTCTTAGCATTAAAACCACCGCCATTAATATTTGCTGTGGCAGGAAATCAATCCCTTTCTTACTGGATGTGTTGAGCAGTTTGCAAGTGGAAAGGCTTTTTACCTCCACTGGAACTTTCAAACTACTTAAACTCTGCATGCATCTATATGTGTATTTTCTCTACTTGCTTTGAATAACAGTGCAATTTCCTTCCCCTGTTTGGTTTCAACATTAGCAAAGCAAGTGTCAGATTAACAACTGATCCTTGGGTGGCCAACACATCAGCAGGCAGCCCTACCATTATACTGAGTAATTGTGTTATTCAGTCACAAAAGGAATTTAAAATTGGACAAGGGAGGAATTACTCTCTAATCTTCCAGTCCTACAGAAAGAATCCTCAGCTGGAAACATATGGTCAAGATTGATCAAATCCCAATAAAAGTCCTGCTTTGAGGAGAAAATGCTATATGTGTGTGTGTATTAAATATATGTTGACATGTATATGTATTTATGCACACACACACACACATATTTAACAATAAATAATCTATCAAGCTTTCAATATGCTTTTCTTTATTAAATATATCTCACAACATCCTTTTGTGGACTTTAAAGAGATGTTGTAGTCATTATAGGTGCATATTCACCTTCAGTGGAACTTCTAGCTTCAATGGCAATATACCCCCAATTTTATATGCTTTGGGAAAGAAGGCGTTGTCACTGGCCTTCATGGTTTGGAAGATAATTTATTCATTTACTTTTATGTATTTACTTCAGGGAAAGTCAAAGTGGTTTCCTACCTATTTATGGCAAAATTTAGTGCCTCACTTACATATAAAATCTAATATAAAGCCACAATAACATATAACTATCAATTAGATCATAAAAATGCAACAGCATTTAGACAAAATGTGGAGTTAAAAACATATTAATATAAATGTTAAAATCCCATAATCCAGAAATCATGGTCCAAAGCCGTTCTAAATGTCAAAGATCAATTGTATATAATCCCGGATCATTCCTTGTATTGCTTACTGCCCAAAGGCTTGGTCCATAGCCAAGTTTTTACTTTTTTTCTGAAGGCCAGGAGGGAGGGTGCTGATATAATTTCTCTGGGGAGGGAGTTCCATTGTCGATGAGCTACCACTGAAAAGGCCCTGTCTCTTGTCCACACCAGTCGTAACTGCGAAGGAGGTGGGACCAGATGATCTTAACCTCCAAGATGGTTCGTAGAGGGAGATACATTCATACAGGTAAGCTGGGCCAGAACCATTTAGGGCTTTATAGGCTAAAGTCAGCACTTTGAATTGTGCCCGGTAGCAGACTGGCAGTCAGTGGAGCTGGCATAACAGGAGGTCATATGCTCTCTATACCCCACTCCAGTGAGCAGTCAGGCTGCTGCCCGATGGACCAATTTAAGCTTCCGAACAGTCTTCAAAGGCAACTCCACGTAGAGCGCATTGCAGTAGTCTATTCGAGATGTAAATAGAGCATTGACTACCATGGCTAAATCTGACTTCCCAAGGTATGGGCACAACTGGTGAACATAATGAGTTAACCTGGAATAGGTAGGTGTTTAAAACATACCCTTAAAATTCAGTTTTGGAGCATTCAGTAACTGAAAGTGATGGTTGGCCAAAGTGAGGAAAACATTTCTGGGCTTGTTCTGATCAGAGCTTGCCATCAGAAAAAACATTTTGTCACTCACTAGCTCACTCAGGCAGCTAAGCAAGGGCGAAAACTTGCATCCCCACCCCCATTGAAAAAATATGCAGAGTAGTGAAGAAAAAGACACAATTCCCATGAAGGCTCATCGAACTGCAGCTTGCATTTTTCTGTGTGTTTTAAAACCTAGGGAGGTCTCCATGGCTGTACATTTTCAGAGCACTGTTTCTCTCCCCATTTCAGAACCAAAATAATCTATTTTCACCTTGAAGGGGAAACACCTGCCCGAACCTAGTTCAAAGGCAACAGGATGAGGGCAATCAGTCGGAAGTTACTGGAACTGGGCAAGCTGCTTAACCGCAAGCCCAACCGCCAGTCAGCTGTTTTCGGTTTAATCCCAAAGCAACCCTGAACAAAGAAAAAGAGAGAACACATTTAAAACAATTATCAACCTCGTAGGATTCATCTGCAGGAACAGCCGTACCAATTAACTGAGCAGTAGCACTATTACTACTACTATTGTCATTGAAAAAAAATTGAACAGGGATGTAATGTGCTTGTACATTAATATTCTCGCCACATTAAGACAAGATGACAAGTATTTGCAAATTTATCATTTTATTTTTTGTTTTACAATTGCATTGCAGAAATTTCATGTATAGGAAAAATTCACAGAATACAAAAAGCAAGTTTCAGGACTAAAATATTTGCAGTCACACAGACTTGCTAATTTTCTTACTAATAATGGTTGAGGATTTTTTAAGAGGAACCTGGCATTCACACTGTCTGTCCAAGAAACAAAAACACATGTAAGACATGTGTGCTTCCCTTATACCAGTGGTTCTCTACCTGTGGGTCCCCAGGTGTTTTGGCCTATAACTCCCAGAAATCCCAGCCAGTTTACCAGATGTTAGGATTGCTGGGAGCTGAAGGCCAAAACATCTGGGGGCCCACAGGTTGAGAACCATTGGCTTATACCCATAATAGCATAATCTATGCTTGTTCAATTTTCCTGGGTCTGTAAAACATATTTCAGACCCAGTAGCTTGTATTTTCTTGTTGTAAAATAGAGGATATTTCCTTTTTTCTACTACAAAAAATAATGCACCAAGAAAGCAAACAGCAGAGCAGCAGTTAACATGTAACTTTATTATTTTGATTGAAAAACCGAAGACAGAGAAAGATTACAAAAGTAATAAAGAAAGGCCACTTTAACAGAGGTTGTCTGCCCTCCATTCCTTCAACTTGGAGCATCATATGGGACGATATCTTTGAGGACAATCAGAAACAGTCAACTTGTATAGAAAAGAAACAAAGCACTCCAAAGTATTTGCCGAATAAGATGGTGCCTTCAGGCACAGGAAAAAGTGCCCCCATACATTTCCTGACTATGTAACACACATGGACTGTTTGTAGGCCAAACCTAATTTGCAGAAACAGCAAAACCAGGTTATCATCTGCCCTTGTCACTGTAGAAAGGTCAAGTCCACTGGGACTACAAATCCCATCACACACTGCTGACTTTGAAGCCAGCAATAAATCATATTCAGGATCAAAAGAGAAAAAATATCCCCTACTTCGGCTATAGGAACAAGTGAAGCATTGTTTCATTTCACATTGCATTATTAATTTTTCTCTCGTCACAGCAACGCAGCAGAAATTTATTTCTTTAACAGGCTGGTAGAAAACAGAGTTGCACACCTCCCTGAATTCTTCTTAGATGGGATGGTATAGGAAGAAACAAAAGCACGGATTCCCTTAACCTAATATACCTGTCACTGGTACAACATGTGTACACGGAATACTAAAGGCTGCCCAATTGTACTCATAGCTTGACAGAATGGTAAGTTTTAATGTTCCAGTGTCAATGATAACCGAGGGTGGGCCTTTCTCATACTTGGATCAACATATACACCATAAATCCAATTGCTTGCCTTATTAGAGTAGACTCATGGAACCAATTGCTGAATGGTAAATCAAAACTATAAATCCCATGGATGCAATGAGGTCTGCAGTAGGGACAACCAACAGAATCTATGCCTACATTCATAATGTCCAAACCATGAGCAACTCTTACTTCCTAAATACAAATAGATTACACAGCAGAAGTACATTTGGTATTGTTCACTACATTTACACACACATAAGGCCAACATTTCAGGATCACATAGAAGAGACAGTGCTGTGTATTAATTTCTAGGGGGCAATGTTCATTACAGCAGAGGTGGGAACATTGTGACCTCAGAGTCCAAAGCAGGCTCTGGTTTCTCTTGACTCCCTTCACCTCATTCTTATGGTATTTCTGGCCTCAAAAATTGATTTAGGAAGTGTGGCTTTGACCAAACATTCCAGCCCAGAATCAAAGTAAAAAAATGACTGGAAGTGAGACAGTATCAATTCCATTTGTGAATTGAGACAGAAATGTGGCCTATGCTGGATTGAGAAGACCCAAAAATATCCTTCTGTGTGTGTTCACCACCAATGGATTAAAGCTTGTAGAAAACCTTCCACGTTTGGTTGGAGGGCAACCCTCATCAGCTTCAACCAATATAGCCATGATGAGAAATGATGGGAGTTGCAGTTCAGTACCAATATGAATGTCACACACTGCTCATCCCAACTGTAGAATATGAGTAATGTAACAGCAAGAATAACATCTTGTGAATGTGGGCAGCATGAAAAAAGATGAGCAATATGAAGATGAAGAGACCACAGCAAAGTGTGTGTGACAATACAGTTGTCACAGTTTCATATCAAGTCTTGTGTCTCACCCTTCCTGTCACCCGTGCCCACAATAGCAAAATATGCAACAGGCTGAGGACATTTTCTTCCACTATATGATGTAATATCCTCTTAAACTGTTGTGTTTATACATAAAATCAAGAGCAATCCTTACATACATCCTCTCCCCATTCACTGCTGTTCTGTATGGGCCAAACAGATGGTTTGACATCCAGACCTGTTGTGGTTTTTCAGGAATAGGATATAGCCATTCAGGATAGCAACATAAAAGGGGGCACCCAGATACCTCAATAAAGGATGTGTGAAAGGTGCCACAGGGAGAAGAAACTGCTTTCCCCATTCTCTCTCCTACATACCTCCAACAGAACAATGTTTTCCATGTCATAACGTAGCAGCCTGCACAGGGAAAAAAGCTCATGTCAATCTTTTACTCTGATCGGAAACATAGTTATTCAGGGATTATCCTACTAATGTGTACTGAGGAAACCCTGAAGTTTCACAACCTTCAGGTACTTCTCACTCTAGCTTCAAACCTAGGGGCAGATCTACTTTTATCCCAATCATCTTTCAAGAGGAATTAGTCCACTGAGATATCCCTACATAGAGGAAACAATTCCGCTAGTTTTGGAGCAGGCAATGATAAAAATGTGCCTATTCCATGCACTCCAATATATAAGCAGGTGTTCACCTATTCAGGTAATTGACAACTTCCTTTAAGAAGACACCAGCTTTCTGTGTACCAGACACCACCTTGATAATTGCACTATGGTTTGTGTACCTAGCTTACTCAATTCACATACATTTCCTTCCATTTCCTCCCTTCCAGATACAAAACAGACATGAGAAAAGTCACCCATCTCCAATGCTCAAGGGCATCAGTGATAATTGCAAACATATGCCCTCCTTAAACTGGTCCTTGCTGGGCAATCTGATGGTTTGATTCCTGAGAGTTCTGAGTCATCTCCTTCAGTAGGCACATGATGGTTCTTCAACTGGAGCTATTGGGCTCAGAGGCTTCAAGGTGCTAAGGGATCGGAAGGCAAAGGTGGATGGGTCGTACAGAAAGTGAGGTGGTGGTCGGCTTCCATTGATATGCTGTGGAGAAAAAAAGAAAATGACAGTCATCATTCAATTAGTGTGCACACTAATGCAGCAAATTTCTTATTTAGTTAATAAACCTTAAATGAAACAATGAAAAAATGTCAGAGATACCGTTTACCAAACAGTAAATCAACATCATGGTTGGGAAAGGTAGTATCTTATGACATGTGCCTTCCAACAATTAACTCTATGCCCAACTCTTCATGACAGAACTGTAGTTCATGGACTCTTTTCAGGTAGCCTGTAGATTCTTCCTGGACCCTACTAAAGGATTTCAACCAAACAATCCCTGATACATTTGCTACATGAAATTTCCTGGGCTGGTGACTTTACCTTGAAATAAAATGTTCAATACCCTGCATCTGTTCTACTCCCACTCCTGCCAAGAGTGCGAATAGAACAGATCTATAAAGAAGATTATACAAAACTATAAAGAGGATTTCTGACCAATTCCACTTTTTGTGGGATTTCAAATTTAGGTCGTCCCCCCCCCCCCCAAATGGTTTTCCTGGATCCCATCTAAGAACTAGTATTAGACCTCCCTTACACCATGTGATATTTTTCTGTGTTTGTTTTGTTTTCAGACTGTTTCCACCTTAGTCTAAAAAAGTGGGTTCCAAACTTTTGTTCCTCCAGGTATTTTGGCCTTCCGCTCCCACTATTTCTAACAGCTGGTAAGCTGACTGGGATTTCTGGGAGTTGAAGTCCAAAACAACTAGATGAACAAAGGTTGGGAACCACTGCTGTAAAGCAGTGGTTCTCAACTTGTGGGTCCCCAGATGTTTTGGCCTTCAACACCCAGAAATCCTAACAGCCGGTAAACTGGCTAGGAATTCTGTGAGTTGTAGGCTAAAACACCTGGGGACCCACAGGTTGAGAAACACTGCCATGGCAACATCCCTAATTCAGAAGATTTTCTTTTGAATTACAGCTTCTGGAATACTTTGAATAGCAGGGGAAGTGAACATTCTGGATGATGTTTTCAGAAAGTTATAGTCCAAAAACGTAACTTTTCAAATTCCCCGATTTAGATGAGAATAGAGAAGACGCCAGTGTGATATAGTGGTTAGAGCATTGCACTATTACTTTGGAGACTAGAGTTTGAATCCCAGCTCAATTATAAAGGTTGCTGGATGGACCCTGGACAACCCATATTTCCTCAGCCTCAATCGAAAACAATGGCAAGCATTTACTGAGCAAATCCTCCTCCCAAGAAAAGAAGGAAACTAAACCTTGTTGTGTAGGGATGTGCCTTGTACACAATGTGCCGCTGGAGCAAAGATTTCCATCAGGAAATGATATTTAGCTACACCAAACACCATATATAATTTACCTTTACAGAATCACAGCAACCCCATTACGCAGCAGCAGAATCCCAATCAAAATGGCATTACAGGAAGAGAGCAGACAAAGCTGCATTGCTACAGATTGGATGTAGCCAGGGAGACTCTTGACCAATGATGGCAATCCTTTTAGAGACCAATTGCCCAATTGGGGGGGGGGGGTTGATGTGGGTGAGCAAGTGATGGGGCAGGCAGGCAAGAAGGGGGTGGACAAGCAGGTGAGCAAGAGGGAGAGGGGGCGAGAAGGGGTGGACAAGCGGACAAGCAGGAGGCAAACGTCAGACAAGCGAATGGGGCAGTGAACAACTGGGGTGGGCAAGCAAGCAGAGGGTGGAAGGCAACAGTGGGTGGAAGGCAACAGTGCGCATGCCAGGAGAGAGGGAGCCCCCTGTGGTATGTGTGCGATAGGTTCACCACCACTGCTACTTGTTGCCTCTTCCTGCCTCTCGCCAGTGTCCCTAAATGCCAGTGTATACTCAGCCATCTTAAATAGAAGGCCCTTGCACAAAGTATTGGGATTTTGAACAAACAATTAGCAGGTCTTTTTTTTTCTTTAAAGTGACCTCTGACACTGTATCCAGGATTTTTGGGCTTTGATCCATCTATATTCCCTAATGGATTTTGACTCACAATCAAACAGGGAAAAGGTCATGAACAGAAAGCCCTTCTGTGTGGCTGACCCAGCCAACAGGGTCAAATCCCTTTGTCAAAAGGGGAAAGGGTCCATTAGATTATCTGGTTCATCTCCCTGAGCCATGCAACTTTGCTTCCTAGCACAGGATACAAGAAAGGCACTTTGTTTCCAAAGAAGACAAAGCTCAGCATTCTGAGATCACATTGGCACATTACGCCCCACAGAGATTTCATGCTTAAGTATACAGATAGTTACATACATACATATAGATTTCTGTAATTGTGGTCACAGAGATTTCTTAATTCAGACATGTGTAGTGTAGCCCACAGAGGTTGTCTGCTCAATACAGTTTTGAGTCTAGTTCTTGCTGCAAACTTTAGATAGCAAGTCTGTCAAAGACATATAGATCTCCCCACTACGATCTTACAATGAGATAATTTTCTTTGAAAAAACGATTTAAAAAGATGGGTAAAGTAGTTATACAAAATGCTCAGAAGAATCAACAGAATGTACAAACACCATTATTGTTGCTGTATACCTTCAAGTTACTTCTGATTTACAACAAGCCTATCACTACATTTCTTTGGCAAGATTTGTTCAGAAGGGATTTGTCTTCCTCTGAAGGGGAGTAAATGGGACTTGCCCAAGGTGACCCAGGATGCTTTCACAGCTCTGTGGGTCTTCAAAACCTGGTTTCCACAATCCAATGATATAATATTGAACAATATATAGTTTCGATGTTATTAAATGATACAGTACATCCCCCACATCCACAGGAGATACATTCCCAAACTTCACATACATATGTGAAGCCATGGATAATAGTGAACCCTGTTGAAATGAAGTACCTCGCCAGGAAATGCCTAGTGAGAACATATTTTGTTGGACATAGATAAATGAAACCATGAATACTGATCCCATGGACATGGGAGTCATACTATGTAACTTTTATTATTAAATGATATATTTAACACTTTCAGTAACCTTCCCAAAATGTTGCTCAAAGAAGCAGTAAATTGAAGGGAACATACGAACATGAGCAGCAAAAGGGGCAGCATTCCAGCTAGAATGCAGCTCAGCTCTAGCTTATTCCATAAGTTCCACATCACTTCAAGAAGACCAATTATGTTACAATCACAGCTATCATACATAAGAACCAAGGCCCATGGAGACAATTTCCTGTCACATTGTCAGGTCAGATCAGCAGATTCCAGTGTAAATAAAGTTTTAATGGCACCCTAAAAAGTAATGGCATATTTATAGTACAGGCTTTTATGGAATGGAGTCTTTTTTCAACACACACAGAAGATGCCATCCTTAAGAAACAGCTATAAACAGCTGCTGGACTGAACAACTACTTTCCTCCATTTCTTCTTCTTCTAGTAACAAAAGACTAATCTCACCTACACCACTATGAAGCCAAAGGAATGGGGAGTCATATTAACCAGTCCTATCCTGGTGAATATCTTTTGGTGGAGGCTTCTTCTTTGGAGGATTTTAAATGGAGGCTGGATGGCCATCTGTTAGGGTGCTCCGAATATCCTGCTTCTTGGCAAGGGGTTCACCTAGATGGCCCACGAGGTCTCTTCCAACTCAATGATTCTATGATTCTATTCTATTATTCTATCCACACCATATAGCCTAAATACTCTAAAGCAGGCATGGGCAAACTCTGACCCTCCAAGTGTTTTGGACTTCAGCTTCCATACAATATTGCCTACAGTACTTGGTATTGTGGGAATTGAAGCCCAAAACATCTGGAGGGTCGGAGTTTGCCCATGCCTGCTTTAGGGTTTTTTAGGCTATAAGGTGTGGATAGGACTGGTTAATATAACTCCCCTTTCCTGTGGGAGTTGAAGTCCAAAACTGCTGGAGGGCCAAAGTTTGCCCATGCCTGCCCTAAAGGCACCAGATCCTTTCTGATTTTGGAAGCTATGTAGGGTCAGCTGTGGTTAGTAGCTGAATGTAAGTCTGACAACCAATACCAGAAACTATAGGCAATATTTTAGAGGAAGGAACTGGCCAAACGACTTCTGGGTACTCCTTGCCTAAGAAAACTCTATGAACATCATGAAATATTCACCTTTTAGAACACATAATATTATTTGGAAATCTGTACAAATACACACTAGCTGCAAAAGAGGCAGTCATGTATTTAGTCTCTAATGAAGTCTGTCTCACACCAGTTTCTCCTTCATTATGTTGTGATAATAAAATGGTATGGGATTTTTTGAATCTTGGTAGATTATATCTTATATAATAGTGGAAATACATCCCAATGGCAAAACACAAATAATCTAGGGGAAATGGCTGGGATACCTTTTTACCAGCCATTTTCTGTCCTGAGTAACACAACACAAAAAAACAGGATATGGAAGGCAGCTGAAACTTGGGGACATTATTTACTCTCTGTCATGCGACAGAGTCATAAAATGCCTGCCCTGTGGGTTTGATTCTGTGTGAATTCTGCCACAAAACATGTCTCTGTGGCACCCTTATTCAACAGGAATGGGGTTCAAGGCTTTGCTGTTTTTTTTAATCATGGAGAAATATCAGTTAGGGTGAATGCTTGGCTTTCTTTTTTACACATTGAGAGCTTAGCGCTTGTCAAGCAAAATCTTTTCATTCTAAATAATGTTCATATTGCAAAAGTATTATATCATAAAGAATTTTTCTTGCAAGGATGTCTCCATGTACATACCAAAGGCATGGTGGAAGATGCTCGAGGACATCTGCAATTTGCTTACACATAACTCAGTTGAAAAAAATCATGCCCAGGGCCAAGCATATATGCACACTAACAGAAAGAAACACACATACACTTAATCTGAAACTACGACCAAGGACACAGCAGGAGGGGGCACATTTAAAAGAGCCTCCATTCACCAGCCGCCTGCTGTGGCATTATGGATGGTACGCGTTCTGGCAGGCCTCGGAGTGGGAGGGTAACATAGCAACCTTTATGCAGAGCTAAAGGGGCAGAATTAATCAGTCCGATTTGTCCCTCTTCTGCATTG